TGCCATGATCTAAATTCCAACTCTTTATTTGAACTTCCCCCCCTGCCTTCCACAATGCCATGAAGTAAAATCTAACTCTTTATTTGCACTTCCTCCCCTGCCTTCCACAATGCCATGATCTAAATTCCAACTCTTTATTTACACTTCGCCCTCTTGCCTTCCACAATGCCATGGTCTAAAATCCAACTCTTGTTTTTAAAACTTTGATCTAAAATCGGACTTTTTATGAACTTTCCCCTCCCTTGCCTTCCACAATGCCATGATCTAAAATCTAGCTCTTTGTTTATAGTTCCACTCTTGCCTTCCACAATGGCATGATCTAAAATCGAACTCTTCAGTTCCCCCCTTGCCTTCCACAATGCCTGATCTAAATTCCAACTCTTTATTTAAATTTCCCCCTTGCCTTCCACCATGCCATGGTCTAAAATCTAACTTAAACTTCCCCCCGCTTGCCTTCCACAATGCCATGATCTAAATTCCAACTCTTTGTTTCAATTTCATCCCCCTGCCTTCCACAATGCCATGATCTAAAATCTAACTCTTTATTTAAATTTCCCCCTCCTTGCCTTCGACAATGCCATGATCTAAATTCCAACTCTTTATTTGAACTTCCCCTCCTGCCTTCCACAATGCCATGATGTAAAATCTAACTCTTTATTTACACTTCCTCCCGCTTGCCTTCCACAATGCCATGATCCAAATTCCAACTCTTTATTTACACTTCGCCCTCTTGCCTTCCACAATGCCATGGTCTAAAATCCAACTCTTGTTTTTAAAACTTTGATCTAAAATCTGACTTTTATGAACTTCCCCCTCCCTTGCCTTCCACAATGCCATGATCTAAAATCTAACTCTTTGTTTATAGTTCCACTCTTGCCTTCCACAATGGCATGATCTAAAATCGAACTCTTCAGTTCCCCCCTTGCCTTCCACAATGCCTGATCTAAATTCCAACTCTTTATTTAAATTTCCCCCTTGCCTTCCACCATGCCATGGTCTAAAATCTAACTTAAAACTTCCCCCCGCTTGCCTTCCACAATGCCATGATCTAAATTCCAACTCTTTGTTTCAATTTCATCCCCCTGCCTTCCACAATGCCATGATCTAAAATCTAACTCTTTATTTAAACTTCCCCCTCCTTGCCTTCGACAATGCCATGATCTAAATTCTAACTTTTATTTAAACTTCCCCCCTTGCCTTCCACAATACCATGATCTGAAATCTAATTCTCTTGCCTTCCACACGACTGCCCCCAGACAGTCGGTGAGAGGCCCTTCAGGAAGGTACCTTAAGGGGGGAGCTTGAGAAATTGAATTTGAAGGTCCGTTGAGGAAGGCTTCGAAGCCCCCTTAAGGTGCCTTCGAAGCCTTCGAAGCTCCCTTAAGGTACATTCAAAGGCTTCAGCCAAGGCTTCAACGCTCGAAGCCACCTTAAGGTACCTTAAGGGAGCTTCGAAGGCTTCGAAGGCACCTTAAGGGGGCTTCGAAGAATTCGTCCAAGTCCGCTTAAGATACCTTCGAAGTCTTCGGCGAAGACCCCTTAAGGTACCTTCGTCGAAGCCGCCTTAAGGTACCTTCGAAGGCTTCGAAGCCCCCTTAAGATACCTTCGAAGCCTTCGAAGCCCCCTTAAGGTACCTTAAGGGGGCTTCGGTTCCTCGTTCCCCCCCCCCTCCCCCCCCGTCCCCCCTTCGGCAAAGGCTTAAGGTACCTTCGAAGGGGGCTTAAGGTACCTTCGCCGAAGGGTGCTCCACGACTGCCCCCTGCGCATTGAGTTCTTCCGATGCCGTACTGGCTCCTCTGGCTGTATGATGAAGCTGCAATGGCTTTCTGCGCTTGGGTTACTTCGTTTCTGGCAGATATTGTACAACTATCCAATATACAGCAAATCTGACGGAGTTGGCGTATGGCCGCCTCAAGGTCATTGACCCTCTGGGATGGGATGTTTTGTATGCCTTGAAGCTGGCGTGCCTTCTCTAGAAGTTTGGTGGCATCATCGACTTCGCTGGTAGTGACCTGGCAGAGGGTCAGTTGGGTAATGGACTTTGCAAGGCGATGGACAGCAGCATCTTTGATAGGAGTCGGTCGTTCCATCCCAAAAGGCTAAGCTGTGTACAGGTTGTTCGGTAGACGTAGGGGCGGACCGACTGGACGCCTATGGGATTGGCGGAACTTGCGGTTTTGATGCTTTCTCTGCGTAGGCTATGGTATACGGGTGGAATCATCCATGCCGGCACGAAAACTATGATAAACTGCACGTTCCAGATGACCTGCAAATTCTGCGGCTTGACTTCGGGCGTGATGCATCTTACCTGACCATCGATTACTCTGGTGTATGATTCGGAACGGTCGAAAGATGCTGTAACTTTTAAGCCTGGGTACAGCTCTCTAAACCAGTATTCCTTGAGCATCATAAAGGAAAGGTGAGGTGCCCTCACTTCCAATACGTGCGATGCTGGCATTAAAAGAATGACCATTTATTCAGCTAAAAA